AATAAAATTTTATTTTAATTTTACTAAGTTTTAACTTTGTAAGAAAGTTAGTAATTATACTTTACAATCATTACATTATAATTTCTTTTTTGAGTATACTATTAAAAATATTTAAGTGATTTAAATTTAATAAAATTTATATAAGTTGTAATAATTTAAATTAATTAAATGTTAAGTCCTTATAATATTTATAAGTCCATCTTGTTTATATATGTTATAAACAAACTTTGATGCTTGAACCAAGATAGTTGTATCTACCATGGCAAAATATTATTAATATAAACCTTGACTTTAGATAATCATTATGATAATTTATAAAAGATATTATAAATATACTTATTTTTCCTTAAAAGATAGGAAAATAAAATTTAAACATAAAAAACACAAAAAAATTGTTATAGAGACATTATTTTATTTTCAAGAATATACAAAAGAATATTATCGATTTAGAAATACAAAAACTTATAGGTGTGTTTAAGAATTAGCATAGAATATTAAAAACTCTAATATTAACTTTGATACTATTTTAAAATATATTGAAATTATTTTTAGATGTTAAGTTAAAATCTTTGTAAATAGAATAGAAGTTTATATTATATTATTTGATAGTATGATAATTTAAAGTCTTTAAGGTATTTTATCTTTATATATATCTATATATACATATATATATTCTTACAAGATGCATTAGTATATGGTTTCTATATACATGTCCTATGTAGGATAATAAAATCAGGTTAATAAATATTTATATTCTTTTTAAAGTTTTTAATTTTATAATCATGACTACATAGGCATAATAAATCATAATTATCTAGTCTATTATGCTAATTACTTGGTTTTCTAAACATTATTGCATACATAGTGTAATTTTTATTTTATTTTTAAAAACTTTGTGTTCTTGATCAGAAATACATACATTTTGTGATTTTAGAATGTAATTAAATTTTTATAACATTGCAAGAGGAAAATATAATACTTGTGGCATTTTAAAACAATTATAGTAATTTATTGATTAAAATAGATATTTAATTTACTATGTGCATTTCTTAGAAGAAGCTATAGTATTATACATAAGAATCTTTAAAATTGACATTTAATATTAATTAATTAAGGACAATTACATAAAAGATTTACAATTGAAGATATTTGTATGATAATTTGAAGTTACTTATATCTTAAATACAAATATTATTGATTTCTAAATTCTATCTTATCAAGATGTTTTTAAAATTAAATGCTCTAAAATTATTGCATAAATATTTTATACTTTAATATCAAATTTTATTAATTTTCTATCTTTATTAAATGATTGAAATGAAGAATGCGACTCTCAACAATATCTAAGTAATTTATCATAATATTATATAAAATTAAATACAAATATGTTAACTTTGTCACAAATAGGACTTCTTAATTCATTATTAGTTTCTTTAAAATGCATAATATTTTCTTCAATTACCAAAAACTTTAACAATATTAAAATTACTATTAAGTTTGTAATTATAATTTTTATACAAAACTCTTAAATTTTTCTTATGAAAAGAATATGAATATATTCTATTCAAAATTAGCAAGTATCAACAATGATTGATTTTAAAATAGCCACTCCTAGTATTTCTTACATCTAGTTATTCTCTAAAGTGTACAACTTCCTTCATTCCTAAATTACTAAACACGAGCCAATATTAATCACTTCTAAAAGACTTCTAAAAATATCTAGGATTTTTTATTATTATTAATAATTTCTTATAATATAATATTGTAATCATGGCTATTAATTTTTATTTTTGAATTGTGTTTACTTTTCAAAAGTTTAATTAATACATTTGTATAATCAAATAATCTTATAACCTAAGGTATTTCATGCCATTCTTTAAAACTAACTTTTATATTTTGAAGTTCTTTTAAGCTCCGCACTTCACAAAAGTTGATCGGTACAATAAAAGTATCTAATAAAAACTCTCCATATGTATACAACAGAGTATATACAATTTCTTTTTAAAAATAATATGTGTTAATTGTATGAATGGCTTTTGATGTATCATTTTAGATATCTCAAATATTGATTTTGTAAAATCACTTGTTCCTAGTAGTAAAAGAAGAAAAAAAAATTGTTTAGAGACATTCAAATAATAACCAACAAAATATTGAAAATTTGATAGATATTTTATTTAAATTTTGGAACTAATAAGTTGTGCAAATAATAAAAAATAGTATTTAAAATCTATGTATGTGGCAAAACTTCTTTGACTTATCAACTAACATAGTTGTAATAAATTAGCTCTACAAAAGATTGAATGTAATTTTATATACCATGACTTCTATTTATGCCATACATATATAATATCTATGTCATCTTATAATCAATTTATCTAGTATTTTTTTATTTTTTTTAAATTAACTTATTAAATATTTTATCTTTAATTTCTATGAATTATAAGTTTTAGACAATCAAGCAATAGATGGAAGATAGAAGATTTTAGAATTAATCACTTTAATTATGATACAAAAATTATAATACTAATAACAAGATTAAATAAATGGAGCTTAAAAATATATATTGAAAAAAATGCTTTCAAAATATTCTTATCTTAAAGAAAGTAGATTTTCTTTTAAATAATAAATATTTTATTTTTACTACAAACTTATGCTTTTTTGAGTTAATATTTATAAGATATTAAATTGATATTTTATGATTTATTTCTTATAATTAGCTACTTGGTGTATGAATTTAGGAGCTTAAAATTAAATCAAATGCCACTAGAAGCATATTACCTAAAAGTTTCAACATAATCCCAAATTCTTCAAATAATATTGTCAACATCTATTGTTTTTTGTACATTATATCATAACTTGAAAACCTTTGCATTCTTATTGTTTTGATTTATCTTTAATCAATGCAACAAATATATCTTAGTTCTACCAAACATATATATATATATAGAAAAAAAAAAAAAAAAAGAAAGAAAGAAAGAAAGAGAAAGAGAGAAAAATAATAAAGTGGTTCAAATTTTTATTAAATCAATTTACATATTTAAACCATCATCGTACCCTTTCAACTCATATCCATTCCCAGCCATTCTCCTATTCCAAACTATTGCCCTTGACATTTTCAACCCTTGTCTCTATTCTTGACATTTCCAACCTCTACCTCCATTCTCAATATTTCCAACCTCCGCCTCCATTCTCAACATTTCCAACTCTTGCCTCCATTTTCAACATTTCCAACTCCTGCCACCATTCTCGATATTTCCAACCCCCGCCTCCATTCTCAACATTTCCAATTCTTGCATCTATTCTTAACATTTCCAATTCTTGCTCCCATTCTCGACATTTCCAATCCCTGTTCCCATTCTCGACATTTCCAATCCCTACTCTCATTCTCGACATTTCCAATTCCTGCTCCCAATCTTGACATTTCCAACCCCCGCCTCCATTCTCGACATTTCCAATCCCTGCTCCCATTCTCGACATTTTCAACTCTCGCCCCCATTCTCGACATTTCCAACCCCTACCTCTATTCTCGATATTTCCAATCTTTGCCTCCATTCTCGACATTTCCAACCCCTACCTCTATTCTTGATATTTCCAATCCTTGCCCTCATTCTCAATATTTCCAATCCCTGTCCCTATTCTCGACATTTCCAACCCCCACCTCTATTCTCGACATTTCCAATCCCTGCCTCTACTCTTTACATTTCCAATCCTTGCCCCCATTCTTGACATTTCCAACCCTTGTCTCTATTCTTGATATTTCCAATCTTTGCCGCCATTCTCAACATTTCCAATCCCTATCCCCATTCTCAACATTTCCAACTCTTGTCTCTATTCTTGACATTTCCAATTCTTGCCCCCATTCTCAACATTTCCAATTCTTGCCCCCATTCTCAACATTTCCAATTCCTGCCCCCATTCTCAACATTTCCACCCCCTGCCTCTATTCTTGACATTTCCAATCCTTGCCTCCATTCTCGACATTTCCAACCCCTGCCTCTATTCTTGACATTTCCAATCTTTGCTCCCATTCTCGATATTTCCAACCCCTACCTCTATTCTTGATATTTCCAATCTTTGCCTCCATTCTCAACATTTCCAATCCCTGCCTCCATTCTCGACATTTCCAACCCCCGCCTCCATTCTCAACATTTCCAACCCCCGCTTCCATTCTCGACATTTCCAACCCTTGCCTTCATTCTCAACATTTCCAACCCCCACCTCTATTGTCGACATTTCCAACCCCCACATCTATTCTTGATATTTCCAACTCTTGCCTCCATTCTCGACATTTCCAACCCCTGCCTCTATTCTTGACATTTCCAATCATTACTCCCATTCTCAACATTTCCAATCTTTGCTCCCATTCTCAACATTTCCAACTCCTGTCCCCATTCTCAATATTTCTAACCCTTGCCTCCATTCTCGACATTTCCAACCCCCGCCTCCATTCTCGACATTTCCAACCCCCACCTCCATTCTCGACATTTCCAACCCCCGCCTCCATTCTCGACATTTCTAACCCCCGCCTCCATTCTCGACATTTCCAACCCTTGCCTCTATTCTTGATATTTCCAATCTTTGCCTCCATTCTCAACATTTCCAACCCGTGCCCCCATTCTCTACATTTCCAACCCTTGCCTTTATTCTCAATATTTCCAACCCTCGCCTCCATTCTCAACATTTCCAACCCCTTTATTCTCAATATTTCCAACCCCTTTATTCTCAATATTTCCAACCCCAGCCTCCATTCTCAACATTTCCAACCCCTGCCTCCATTCTAGACATTTCCAACCCATGTTCTCATTCTCAACATTTCCCACGAAATTATTGTACAAACTGCAAAAATCAGCTTCTCAAATAGTGCAGTGCAGTGTAAGTTTGGGAAGTTACAAAATTATTGTACAAACTGCAAAAATCAGCTTTTCAAATAGTGCAGTGCAGTGCTGGAATGAAACTTCATGGATCACTTTAGAGTAATGACACCATTTGCCTCATTGCGAGGTTCTACATTGGATTGCATCTGGCTAGCACTTCCATGGAATTTGCAACTAGAATTAGTTCTTATTGTCCTGTTACGAACCACATGTTGGTTTATCGACCTGAAGTCACGGAGGATGCGCCTCTGGAGCAGTCAGTCACCTGCTTAAGTTTCCTAACATCAGTTTCCTTGCTATTGAACGCTTCCATGCAAACTGAATGGTTACTTTGAAGCCAAGAGGGTGTAATACCTTTTGGGCTCAAAGTGTTTTAGCAAACTGACGGTTCTTCTACCTTACTCTTTGTGCCCTCTTGATCCCCGCTTGATGCGTTCTGGAAGTGAAAATTGAGCCCAGGTGTTTCATTTTAGGGTTTAATCATGGCCCTGTAGAGGTTTGCAATTTTTTTCACAAAGTAAGGAACCTATGGGGGATCCAGCGATTGAAAGCCTCGGGCCTTTCTGGGAAACAGTGGTCAACAACTGTAATGTTGGCCGGGTGAGTCTCATCCTCCCTCAAGCTGCCCATCAGAAGCAGTGTTGATTGTTTCATGAGCTTTTAGTATCACGAGGAATGTTATTAAATAATTCGGACGATGGAATTGACGCATCTCGTTTATTTTTAGTGTGTAATGTTTGCATTCATAGTTTTCACGGAGTTGAACTGTAAGGTGTATTGTCAGCAACGCTAAAGTGATTTCTGATGTCTGCTTAGGTGCCAGAAACTTGTGAATGCTGAAATGAGTGAATAAGAGACTAATCATTCATATCATCAAACCCAGGGAATGGATTTCTGCACTAATGTTGTTAATTTTAGATCAAAACTATTCTCATCCTGGTAGACATTGCTTCTGCTAGTTTTCAAATATTTTCTCCTTCAACGATTGTCTTTGAGATTTGACGCGCTGGTATGACTTGCCCTATATCTTTCCTTCTAGATACACACAATGTGAAACAGGCTGCAATTCAATATTATGGAGACGTAAATGCGAGACTGACGAGTTTGGGAATGACATTGCAGGAACATAAGAAGTCCTTCATTCCTTTCAAGCTCGAAGGCGAAATCCTTGGCTACATACACCCGAGGTATCGGATTGCAGTATCTTCGTTCTTGAGAAGCCACTGATTCCTGAATTACTTTATTTGAGGTCGAGGACAGGCTCTGTGTCAAAAATAAGCATTATATATTTCCATAAATTGATTTGGGTGTGTCTCACGAAGTTCTGTGGCGGCGAGAAGTATACAGGTTTTGGGAACGCATAAAACGGTTCGAGAAAATTTTCTTCCACGATCCAGGGGATTTGAGAATCGGCACTGGGAATGGGTGGATTACTCTGCATCCTACCTGCAATTCGACTGGCGAACGTACCAGACAAATAGACACAATATTGCGTCTTCTCGAAAATGAAAAAAATATTACGGACTGGCGAAATGAGGTTGCATACACGAACATAAACCGTCTTCCATTTTTGCGGTGGAAGTTACCTGCAAGTTGAAATTAACAAGACAATGTTGACGCTCTGTTTGACTGCAGCTCTGTCCAGTTGTAACTAGGTTTGATGGGCATCGTTATTTTTCCATTGAGCGGGCAGCTCTTCCCTTCTTTGGAATTAAGGTGAAACTTTGTTTTATTTTGTTTTTATGTATTAGCCCGATCTTTTTAAACTTCTCTAGTCTATACTGTTTCCTAATGCCACTCCGAACCACTGGGACCGTTTGCCTGTGACAGTGTTATGGACTGCACATGAACGGGTTCGTCAGAATGAACGGAAAAGATTTTCTGTGGATATCCCGGCGGAGTAAGAAAAAGAAATCATTTGCAGGCATCATGGACAATATGGTTGTGGCAGGCCAGGTTTTTGCTTCATTCCTCGGATCAGTTTGTACATTCTTATCATATTAATTACAACTGCTCTAAAAAGTTGAGAAGTTGCACGCACCTGACTAGCGTGTGGCAACAACTCTCATTGACGCAGTGTCTTAGTCGTGGAAAGAGCACGTACATCAATTTGTAAGTTGACAATGTTTGATGCGGTACCATGTATTTGATTCTGATTAGTCAATATTGATACGTGCAAATGCAATTTGACGAGTGGGTGTGTTCAGACCCCAGGAGGGAACTGTAAGGAGAAGCTAATCCAAAAAGCTTTGGCGAAAGCCAACATACCCGTTCACATGGCTCAGAAGTAGGTTACTGACTCAATTCTGTTGTGAAACACACAACTACATGTATCTCTTTTATAAGAAGCCTTTATTGACTACGTTACCTAAACCCTAAACCCTAAACCTGGTCGCTGCCCTGATTGATTGTTCCGCACGATTTTATCAATTGAAGGATTTGGGGTTTGCAGGGCTGTGTCCTGCGGTCATGTGAGCTATGAGCAGTGTAACGGCTTGAAGATGAAGAGGGATGTGATTTACTGCTATGACTTGGAACTGCCTCCTGATTTCCTTCCCTTCAACAATGGTTTGCACTGCACCAATTCCATCTCTATTGCCTTCAACTAACTGGCAATCTCAAATAAAATTTGTGCATGTTGTCATTGACCGCCCTATTTCCTACTTTGCTGTAAATATTGCGAACACAATCTTGTGCACCACGGTTTATCCTGTTCTCTTATTCCTTTTCTCTGTGTTGCCACTATGTTCAGATGGAGACATCGAGGACTTTAAATTAGTGTCCCTTGCAGATGTTGCAAAACTTGTGTGCACACCGGGTCAATACAAGCTCAACTCCGCTTTAGTTGTAATGGATTTTCTGTTCAGACACGGGTATGTCTTTCTTCATGCTTACATTCAAAGTAACAGGTCATTCTGCTTATGATTCTTAATAGAAACTAACATGAATCTGCATTCCACTCGGATCATAATAGTTTTCCATCTCTGGTGCAGACACATCCACCCTCTTCAAGCTGGTTATATCCGTCTGCACGAAAGCTTGCACAGCGGGGATAACCACTAAACATGCAATGATGCTGGATCTCGGACCGAAACATGACGATTGCAAAAGCTATTACGAGGATCTGCAGCCAGTGTCTCCAAATTGCGCATAATACCAATTTCTATCACAGGCCATGACAATCAACGAATGTTAGTGTTTGTAGAACCTGGTGTGGCCATCTCGATCTCTAAACCCTTGGAAGAAGACTAGTTGCGGTTGTAGCTATATCTTTTCTTGCCCTCAGTATGGTTTAGGATTAAATTGAGCTGGCCAATGTATCTAATCTAGAGCAGAATGTTTCGTTCTTGCACTGAACAAGTGTTCTCGTATATAATTATTGAGTAACTTCAGTGTGACCCCAAACCTGAGAAGTTCACTCTGGTCGAGGTTTACGGTGTAACAGGAAGTCCAGACGATGTTAGAAGTGGAGTTATGTACAGCTAAATGGAACTCATAGAAGAAACTTGGAGGAGCCCAATCTAGCTTTCTCAAATGCTCAAATTTCACCTCAACAGTGTTTACTACTACACCCTAGACAAGAAAGATGAAGTCGGGGTTGAATCCAATGAATCACTGGTATTTTTAAGACATCCTCTACTTGTGAGGATGATTTCGTATGGAGCTTCGGTAGGGGTACGGCAAATTCATGGGAGATTCTCATCCTCGAGCAAAATCTCCGATTTCTGCAGCTTTGCCAACTCTTGAATTGGTTGACAGGGTGAGAAGTTCTTTCATTCCGTGCACAATTTTTTTGCGCAAGAAACCTGTCGGGGACTGTCTCGGTGAGCGAGCTATGAATTGAAAAAGTCCTCTCCGGACGATAAGTAATCAATGTTATCTCTGGAGTGGACGATCACGGGGCTATTTACAGACAAAGATCGTACCTCCAAATGTATTTAGTACCCATGAATCCACGATTAGGTGAGCTTCTTGTGGACGATTCCTTGGTTCTGGGAACTGCTGATTCCAAAACGGCCTCAGGGGGGCTTTAATGAAAAGCAGATCTTGACCTAATGTTGCATAACCGAATTCCGAACTTAACACAAAGCACACATGGTTGCGAAATTCGAGAACTTCGCTCTCAGATTTCAGAAGCTCCCGGAATGCAAAGTTTATTTTGGGGAGCTGCAACTCGTCAGAACCTACATATTTTTGTTCATATGTCGCTCGTGACCGACTAGTCCAGACTTAGACGATCTATGGCATCATGCCAGCGAGATATTCCACAAGACGTACACAGATATGTTAACCTTAAGATTACGTCAACTGCATGGAATTTTTTAACGGGAATTCATCACAACGAAACTAGAATGTATGTTGTCCCTGCACTCATTTCCACATCTATTAATGGTCGGCCACCAAAGAAAAATCCTGCAGCAAATGCACTTCTCACACAGCATCGACATTCGCATTACCAACTGCCCACTGAACTCAACAAAACAAGGCTGGATGCTGAAAGAGTACCATTCAGGATGCCAGGCAATCAGCGACCACGACAGCTAATCGAAGGCCAATTTATAGAAATAGAAAATGAATTCTTTCCATTTCTCACTTTGACGTACTCGCTCGTGGTGTAAAGGATATGAAGGCGGGCCTCACCACCTCCTTGTCTGGCGTGCACGAGAGCAACACGCATCCTGACCGTGAGTAACAGTAAAAGCATCTCGGAGATGCGCAAAAGAGGATTCTCTGCGCTCAAGCACGTGAGTGAATGGTATATCCTAGAGCTCCGACGCTCCAGTGTGGCAGAGTGACGCAACTTACGCAGATTGGGTTGTGCTCAAAGCCGTTGGAAATGCAGAATTCAGCCTGTTTCCTCGACGTCGAATGCAAAATTTGACGCGATGAATTCACGCCAGGGGGCTTCGGCCCAACATTCCGCTTCCGGCGGACATTTCGATGCATCCCAGAAGTTTCGATTTCTGATAAAGATAAAAGTAATGTTGGGATGAAAAGTAACGGGAGCGATGAGCCATCGTCCTTTCTCGACATCCTTACTCATCCAAATTATTCATTCGTTCGTCGTTTTGTTGTTCACCTTGTGGTGAAAGAGAAAAGTCAATTTGTATAAACGCTTCACCAATTTCATTTCTTTTTCTTTTAATAGACTCAATTTAGGACATGCCTGATACGCTTCAACACAAAACAAATAATGTAAGTGTAAATAAAATAAATTGTGTGTGGTATTGAACCGTTTCAATTTTAATTATCAGGTTTACTCCTCTAAAGGCATAAAACAAATACACACCTTTAAACATGAATTTTATGATTCGGGTTTAAACTGAAAATATCTTTATTTTGATGTTGTCAAACTACAGTGACAATTTTCTATACTATAAAAAAAATGATCAAAAAAATGGTATAGTTATTTAAGTAATTTAACATAAACAGAACTTAAATTTTGGGAACTGTTAAATTAATCAAAGCATTTACTAAATCAACCCACCCATCCTAACCATCATCAAAGAATTCTCCATTATTGCTAGTTCCACATTGGTTGGATCCGTAACCAATGATGATGGGTGGATCAATTTAGAAAATTCTTGGGTTGATTTAACAATCCCCTAAATTTATATTTTGTTATGTATAACAAAATCATGAATTTTTTTATATTATTAAAACTTGTGTTTTTTAATTTTATTTTGATGTACTTTTAATGTACATTCTCTCCTTAGGTTGAATTCAATTCAAAATCATGAGTGACATATATATATATATATATATATATATTTAATTGTATCTCCTTACAAGTTACAATAACATAAATAAATAAATAAACATATAATAAAACCACATAATATACATTAAATATATTATGGAAAAATTACCCTCTTCATATCAATATGCAATATAGTATTTTTTTGTAGCTATAGTTGTAATCCAACAAATGTTAAACAATAATATTATATTGTTGGCATGGCTAGGGTCTTATTGTATGTACATGTATGCAATGTATTTGAAAATCAGAAAAATAAAATAAAAATAAAAATAATAACAAGAATGCACGTTTTCTTATTTGTTTCGGAAGAAGTAATAGAAGTCTGATGTGTTATTGAAACATATATCATATCAACGATATTCAATTGAAAAAAAAAGGGGAAAAGGAAAAAAAATGAAAGTGTGCCCTAATCACCATTACTCACGCACATCCAAAAAATTTCAGAATTACGAGTTAATTCAAAAATAGATGAATTCTATTTTTCGTTTGGAATACACTTAATTTCAGGACCTATAATTTACTTGTCAAGAGTTAAAAGGAAAAGGTACATCCCCTATGACCAAGCGTCCGAGTCTCTCAAGACCTATCTAAGACCGTGCCGCGGGACCAGGAATCTTGACATGCGACGCGGGAACGATGGGAACATGGGAATGAAAGTAAGATGGATGCTAAACTTGGATGAACGAAGTGAGGCCTCGGAGCCCTCGCTTGAGTCCGAGGAAGAAGTCGTGAGCAGCATTCACGTCACCGGATTCATCGCATTTTGAAGGTGTTGTTAGTTTCATTTTATTTTATTTTGTTTCCGGACCAGGTTCCGATTGTGGCACTCCGTTCATGTGATCGATCATTCAGAGCTCCAGTAACATCATCGTCAACCGAGGCGGGTGCAGATCACAAGGCTACGAGTTTGACTCGGGACTTTCTTGCAATTAGGGTTTTATTTCTTCAGGCACCGAGGAAACAGATTGCAGCAGGTCCGTGTAGTCATCTCAATGTCGCAGTTTGGGGAGAGCGCATCTGAGTTGGCGCCCTCTTTCTGCATCCTTGAACTTTTTAAAGGGTGTGAGTAGGGGCTAGACGTTTCCACTTGGTGATTTGGGGCTGGCAGAGCGAATATCTTTGTAGGTTGGAGGTTCTGGTGCCAGATTGGGGGAAAGTTTCTAGGGTGCAGATGGATTTGTGGGTGAGGTTTTGATTTTTGATTTCGGCTATTTGTTGTCAGGCAGATTGTATGTTTTGCATGGGTTTTGCGAAGTAGGTTCACTTTTGGATAATTTGTGGTTTGACTAACTGAACAGCGAGGTGAGCGGGCCATGGCGTTTAAGTTGGGGTCTTTGAACCTCAACGCAGTAGCTCAGGTATATGGCTATCATGGTCTCCCACGCAAACGACTTGTTCCTGGTCATGGTTTTACGTCTCTACAGAGATCTCGCTTTGTAATGTTTCATATTTTTTAATTACCTCGATTTTCCCAATGTGTTGAATCTGTTTCTTCATTACGTTATTATACTAATGCTCAATATTGTGGAAATAACATAGGTCAACTCGTTACATTTGCAATGTATGTTTGATTTAGGCCAAATGAATATTATTTTATTTTATGTTTTACAAGGATTTTTTTCCCAGCCGGCCATGGTTCATGTTTTCCTAATGTTTATTATGTCACAATTTTAATTCGAGTATAAATGCAACAGTCTCTATCGTTCCAGTATTGATCTACATGAATGTGTAGGGAGTGGGCGGGCTGGTGTTTGGAACCAACAATTATGGTCGTGATGAAGATGATGGGTAAGAACTGAAAGTTTCTTGTTTCTTCTCTTGCACGAATATTTTAAGGTCGAATATGCTCAGAATATTTGAAAAATGAATATTCGAGCGTGGTAAACACATGTCATTGATATGATGGATAATGGACTGCATACGCATTGCTACAGGGGAGTGGAGGAACTTTTGGAGCGGATTAGCAATGGCAAGCTTGCTGACGATCGACGCAATGCCATGCAAGAATTGGAGGCCGCCGTAGCAGAAAATCGAGCCGCAAAGCTTGCATTTGGAGCAATGGGTAAAACTTGAACGGCATGCTCACGCAATCGTTTTTAATGCTGAATTTGAATTTGTGTTAGGATACGTTTGTAGTAGTTCTTTCTTGGGATTTATTAGATGCATGGGGCTGTTTCAGGTGAATGCTGCTTTGCTGAAGACCCTTTCTGTGTAAACAGGGTTTCCTATTCTTATGGAAGTTTTCAGGGAGGATCGTGAAGACTTAGAATTGGTGAGTTTGAGTGCCTCTCTAAACTTGTTGCTGCTGGTTTTTGGGTTTTCGCAGTCTAATTATTGGCTTTCTCTTGCCAATGTCTTTTGTGTTTGATCGTTCCGGACTTGCTGTTGTCCACTTTGAGATCCGTCATGGCATGCATCAAGCACTCATACAAGAGAGGATAATAGTTCGTTTATTGTCATATTATAGTACCAACTTTGTGGAATTTCAGAGTTAGGAACGGATATCTTGCCTATTATTGAAGTGACAATGTGTAGGTGAGGGGGGCACTGGAGACTCTTCTTCATGCGACAACAACAGAAGATATAGGGCAAGAGGAGCCTGGCCAAGTTCAACCGGGCATTGTGAATTCGGAATTATTTGCACGAGAATCTGCCAGTATCGCACTTGTGTTGAGCCTTCTGGTAGGCTCCCTAATTTACATTATGCGGTCCTCATTTTGTGTTTACGTCGTCGTAAATTACCCTTTTGGATTTTTTGCTTTTAACTCTACGTTTTTAACAATATAGTTTGTTTGACTTGTTTTTGTTTTTGTTTTTTTTTTCTTTTGTCTTTTGTTGTTTTTGGGAAGCATTTAGGATTCAGCCTGATAATGTGAGATGCTCTTTTGTGTAGGATGAACCAGACTTTTATGTGCGGTATCACACACTGCAAATTTTAACCGCCCTGCTTACGAATTGCCCTGAGAGGTGTGCGGAGACTCAAGCCTGAATGATTGCTAAGTGATTTTGCAGGCTTGTAGTCACGTAGGTGCAATCTGGTCTACTTAGATTGCACTTTTCCTACTTGATTCTTAAATCTATTACCCCTTTAAAGTTTCCTAATCATTCTCGTTCTTCTGTATTTTGTCTCAATATTTACATGGATTATTGATGGGGTGGTATGTGGCAAAGGCTGCAGGATCTTATACTCTCTATACCCCAGGGTATCACTCGGTTGATGGACATGCTTGCTGAGCGTGAGGTATATTCACTGCCTTATTCTGTTTGCTTGTATGAGGTTGATGAGGGATCAGTGCAATTGACTGCATTTGTATTATCAGATATATTGGTCTAACTTGATACTTCCTGCTCACAGTGCTTATCCGTTTCGGTTTACGTAAGAGGATAATGTTGAGTGTCCCAGTGATGGTGAAACTTTAACAAGTTTATCGTTCCAATTACCGAATCTTGTGTTGGATATGAAGAGACATCTGAGGGACACCCTGATCTTGTCGCTCTACAGCAGTGAAAATCTTTAATGCTTTCTCCTAGTTATGGACCTCATTCTAGATCCCCTTCCCTGGAAACCTGGTTTCATACGAATAGCTTGCTAATATCGTGGGTTAGATCGCTTGGCCTGTTTGTTTTCACTTCTGTTAGTTCATGCGTGACGTTTCATGATTTTTTTTTTTTTTTTTTTTTTTTTTTTTTTTTTTTTTGAAAGCAGTTTTTTTAATATAAATATTATAGGCGGTTGCGAGATTGGTCTGTTTTGATAATTATAAAGAGTCTGGCATACTGAAACATTTTACGCATCACCTTGCTTTCCTTTTCTTTTGTGCTGATGTAGGTTATACGCAATGAAGCATTAATTGTGCTGGCATATCTCACACGATCGGCTGAGGTATGACATCTTTATATGCAAATATCTTCGTCAAGTTGCGCTTTGTTGTATGTAATGTCGTTCCAACGCTAAAATCTAAATTTTGAGTTGAATGCCTTTGTACGTTGCAGCTTATTTTATCTGGAAAGCTACATATTTAATAATTACTGTTTGAATCATCCAAAAATCGTGTAGTATCTGATCATGGACTCGTCTATGTGTGTACAGGAAATTCAGAAAATAGTTGTATTTGAAGGTGCTTTGGATCGCCTATTCAACATAATCAGAGAGGAAGGAGGCTCAGAAGGAGGTATCATCGTGCAGGTACACTCCTTTAAGATGGTTGCGATTCTAACATTGTTGTAAATATCGAACGGATTTCATTGGTAGTTCTTGTATTCATATACGTATACAACTTTTAATCAATTGTAGGGTACATATTCACGGTTGCGTTGTTGTCCACTGATGTCTCAGGACTGTTTGGAGCTGCTCAACAATCTTTTGCGCAATAATCCGTCCAACCAGGTTAGCAGTATTATTTTGTTCGTTATCTTGTTTTGCTTGTTGCCGATGATGTGAACATGATTTTGTGCAACATAATATGTATGATGGGATGGGCGTAAGATAGATCTATTAGTAAAAGATTGAGCTTGAAAAGTATTGCGTTCTTATGTTGAGATGGCTTGCAGATTTTCTTAAGAGAAACTTTAGGGTTACAATGCGTTGCTCAGCTTCTAAAGTTGCGAAAAGGCAGTGCTGATGGCTTCACGCAGCAGAAGGTAGTTCCTACTCTGATTCTAGTTACTGTCTCGTAAAGTTGAACTCATGAGGCTTTTGATTCACTGTGATGCATATTCATTGGCTTTAGCATGATTACTAATTCACTGTTGGGTTGAATTTGAGGGGACAGTCAATTAATCTGTTATGTGCACTGGAGACCGTTGCGCTTTTACTTTCTGGCGGTCCTGATGCAAAACCAGGGAAAGATGCAAATATTGTTGCAAATCAAACGCTGCTGGCACAGGTTCTTCTTACGTTGATGTCTTTGAGGCTGATCTTTTGTAGTTCAAGTTTGGGGGACATAACCGTGAATATTTTGGTCTGCAGAATTCTTGTGTACTTTCTTCCCAAGATCTTTGTTCTCTAGTACCATGTAGATAAACATTATGTGTAAAATACTTGAGGGTCTCTTGTTTGTTTCTATGCTGGGTGTGACGATTGTTTTAGGAAATTTGTGTTTTTTTTTTCTTATTATCTCGCTTTTGCTGAGTGGTCTGACTTTGAATTCTCTGTAGAACAAGCTGCTGGATATTCTTCTCGCTCTCTCTGTGGAAGGGCGAGTATCAGCCGTTGCCATCCGCTGCTCGGTGAGTTAGATCTGTGAGTCAATACTTGTTGGAATTTTGTTAATATAGGCGAATAGATTATTTCAAGGTTAAGGTACTGCATTGGTGCAAGCTGACATGGGTCACTCGGATAACAATCAGAAAACTCAGATACTATCAGCCATAACTTCGTTTTTTTCTTTACATCTCTGTATTGTAAACTTGGATGTTGTGCAGGCCTTAAGATGCATAGGTGATTTGGTAGTGGGACATCCTGCGAATCAGGTTCTTCTTGGAAGCAAAATGATTGGAGAGGAGCCTGATGCGGAGCCAGCCTTACATTGTGTTTTGAGATCTTTGTTAAAAGCTACAAATTTAAGCGAGTGTATTGCAGCTGAGTATGTCGTAAAGTGTTACTGTGAGGTGAATTCGTTTCTAAGATTTTCTCAAAGTTTGCTTACTTAAGATATTCTTGATATGCTCCAAACGTTCTTGTTGCCGTGCCTAGTTATCCCCGGTTTTTGTAATTAAGCATTCGGTTCTAGTATGTATTTTGCGGTTTCCTATTTAAGATCGACGTGATATGTTTATCATTTCGATGTTTGTCATGTCTGTCACATGGCTGAGTATTGGAATTGTTGGTCGCAGGGGAATTCAGATGGGCAGACTATGCTCGCATCCACCATTACCCCTCTTCCCCAGTCTATTGCTCAAGGGAATGATCGATTGGTTGATGATGAAATTCGCCCCTCGTTTGGGAGGTCAGTCTTTTGAGATAAGAGTTTTTTCCGCTTAGACTCGTGCTTCGGTTGCCTTAGTTATGTGGTTGGACATTTCTAATGTTCTTGTTGCGTAGTGCAGTATGCTTGTGGGGGCTCTTATCTCCAGTGATGGACGAAACGATTTAGAGGTTTGTACTTATTATGATAAAACATTTGTGTCCAATCTACCCTAATCCTGGTTTTTTATCTCGCAAAATTTTGTGTTCTACTTCAAATATTAAGGCATGACGTTCGACCTACGTTGTCATTAATTAGTCTCTGCTCCATGTCTGCTTCGCCATGCTGATCTTTTCGTAGGATTTTAGTGCTGCCGGACTTATCAATAAGATTAGTTTTTATGAAGCTGTTTGATGTATTGACATACTTACGTTGTGAGTGCCGTGCCTATTTCAGGCAAGCTGTAGGGCAGCAAGTGTGTTGTCACATATTTTGAAGAACAACGTCCAGTGTAAAGAGCGGGTACGCACTTCACCTTTTTTAGCACGTTGATTCTACTGTTGTTTCCTTGCATTAGATGCCTGATGAAGAATTAACGTGAAACGGTACTAAAAATTTGTCCTTAACGACTCACAAAGTTATGGTAAGTACGGTATTTTATGCTTCCATTTTTAACCTTTCTCTATTTTGTATCTGTGTATGTAACCAGGTGTTGAAGATTCCGCTTAAGATCCCTTCTTCCTCCGCTTCCCCTCCAGAACTTCTGATGCCTTGTTGCATGAAATACCTCGCAGCCGCATCACCTACTAAGTCTCCTAACAATCCTGAGACTATCTGGCTACAGCCTGTGTTTCTAAGGTTGCTGGTCACGTGGGTCGCTGAATGTCCACCGGCTGTAACTGCTCTTTTCGAGCAACCAGCCCATCTCCCATTCTTGATCGAGCTGCTTGGAAGCACTGGATCGCCTGCCAGTGTACATGTGGCAGGCCTTGCAGCTGTTCTTCTAGGCACGTGCATAATCTTCAACTCAGAGGAAAATTCCACAGACTCTTCTGCGGTTGTAGACCTTATCAGCCAGAAAGTTGGTCTTACAAATTTCTTTGCTAAGTGGGAGGACATGGAAAAGAGCTCGCTCTTCGCTTCTGCTCTGTCATCGTCTAGACTTCCCCAGGCTTTAACAAGATCTACGGCTGCAGCTGCTGCAGCAGGAGATGGAATGGTTTCTGTCCCCTTTGATCAGCAGCAGCAGGTCCAGATGTATGGTGGAAGTGACAAGGAGCCTCTGGTTACTACATTTTATGATGCTGAGTTTGTTACGTTCCTGAAGCAACTAGAGCCACTCATAAAGGAGAGGGTAGTGGATTTATTTTCACGCCCTAAGGCCCGTGTCGTTGTGGATTTCAAGGGGTTCGAGCAAAAGAAAGGGGAGAGTGACTCTGAATATATGCATCGCTTAAAGTCGTTGTTGCAGGCACAAGCACAGGAGCTGCAGGTATGGCTTTTGAGTGATCTGATGCCTAGTCTTTTTATTTGTTTTCACACGTTTTTTTTGTTGACGATAGACATCAGTTTCTCCACTGCACTGTTGATCTAGTGGTGGTGATATCAGCCTAGACTTTGAAGTCTTGTTCCCCATTGATTATCGAGTTTTGACCACTCTTTATCTGACTTCAAATCTAGCAATTCCTTATTTATGTATTGTACGTCCTCTCCAGGAACTTCTCGAGAGGAATTCGGCTATCACAAGCGATCTTCTATTACACTCTAAGGGGGATGGGTCGTCACAATTTGAGGATGGTTGCGCCATTGCGTCTGTTATTCGAGGAAGGAATGGAACATCAGCAAACAGGGCTGAAGTGGAGACCCTAAAGCAACAACTTGAAGTTGCTCAACAGTGGGCTGACGCAGTTCGCGACGAGAAGAACGAAATTGAAAAGGAGTATGCTCAATTCAGACAAATGGCTGCGGAGAAGGAAAATGATTTTAAAGGCCTGTCTGATGCGTATAATGCTCTCGAACAGGAGAATTCTCGTCTTGAAGACGACAACATTACTTTAAGAAAAGCTTTGGAAGGTGGTGGCGTGGTTCCTGCGTCGCTTTCCTCGAAGGAGCTTGAGGACGAGCTGAATGAATTGCTAGTATGTCTCGGTCAAGAAGAAACCAAAGTAGAGAGGTTAAGCGCCCGGTTACGAGAACTTGGCGAAGATGTTGACAAACTTCTCGACGGTATAGGGGACCAGGATGGGGAGGCAGATGCCGAAGACGATGATGAGGACGAAGATGATAACTAATCTAACTATTTGCATCGATGCTCATGTAAAGTAGATGCAAAATGTAATGTGCCATCTTTGAGTGTTCATGATTACCGATTTGGAAATTTAGCCTGTGAATATCAGAAGAATCTCCCACATTTGGGGTGTTGGTGATTAATTGGAGTCAACCATCGGCCTACATGTGGGGTGAGGCACATTGTACTTCTGTTTTTACATGTTCTTTTCAAGTTTCAATAATTATTTGTACAGTATGTGGTATAACAGACATGTGCAGAATGGAACCAGGTGCAGTCTCATGTTATTCTTGTAGTCGTGTGATCCACTAAGTTCATGAATGCATCCAATACGCCTGAGCGTTGCAAGTTACCCTTGCTGTGGAGTATCCGGTAAATGTTATATAATTGTTATATTAAAGTTCTCATGGTTCAAAAACCTCGAACTAAGCACTCCATCCACCAAATATTGCCTAGCTTCTTCAAAACCCTCAACCTGCATTTGTTAATAATAATTATGTATGAATTTATAAATGAATTTGCTTAAAATGCAAAGTGTTGAAAGCACATAATTATAGAAGTTAGTGGCTCTTTGATGAAACAAACAAATATTGTAATCATGAACGCATAACATACCTATAAAATCTTGAAAGTCAAACTAATAAATGAATAAATAAAAACTATTTTCAAACATAATTTATGAACTAGAGAAAATTTTGACAATAGATGATTTCAAAAGTTCTCTACATGTTCTGCAACGTTAATGTTAGACTGAAATATGAAGTTGAAACTTGCTACATAGTCAGAACTTTGAGTCTATTCAAACATAATAAGTATTCATGACTAGTATTACAGTCTCTGAGATAAGGATAGAGCTGTATCATAACAAAGACCTTGACAGGCACCATGTTGTACTGTTGTTGAACAACTTGATGCAAGTTGTCCTTAAAAATTTCCATTTGAGGCCATTAATGCTGACCCATTACTGTTCCTGTGAATGTTCTACTTTGGATAACAAGTAAGGATCCCATTAACGGCTTTTTTTTACCAATATCTATAATGATATGGATGAACAAAGTTATTTTGAGAAGAAATGAAATGCAACTTTCATAGAGAATTTGAAGGACAAGACTGAATAGTCATGCTTTTAAAATTGGTTCTGAAGAATCAATAATGGATTTTGTTGGTGCACCATCATTCTTTCATTTTTGTGTGCCATTCTACTCTTCTTTCGCTCCTCCACTTAACCATAGAAGATAACCAACACTTTTGCTTTTCTTTTGTTCTTTCAATCTCTTCTTATTCTCTTCATAGATTTTATTTATTTATTTTTATTTATTTTATCTATATGCTCTTTATTTCTTTCTTTGTTCTCCATATTAAAGCTTTGTAGTTGTAGTTGCTTTGCAAATTATTTACTTTTTTCACTTCTTTGATTATCAAATCAATTCACTTGAATCTTTTTCATTCTTTACATATATAAGTTTGGTGTGACTGTATTTTAAATTGTCTTACAACTTTTCACTTCTTATAGACAATATCACCAATAGAGTATATTTTAACTATATTAAAAGTAACTTTAATTATGATCTTTAATAAGTATATTAGTTTATTGATACAACAAACAAATAATAATTTGGCAAAGATTAACATTCAACTTTTTTACTAGATATAAAACTAATTTGTAGATGATTCAAGAATATTTTTGCTTTGAAATCTAATAAATTATTTTTGGAAATAAGTATTTTTAATAAAATTAAAAAAGTTTTATTTTATTTTATTATAAAAACTAAAAAATATAAAAAATAAGGTTAATTATTTTTTATAGATGTGTTAGTAAGACATCAATCTTGCATTTACAGGACATCATCTTCTACTTTTGACACTGTTTTTATATAAAAGTGCACAAAGATATATATATATATATATATATTTCAAATACAAATATTATTTGATAAATCTATCATTCTTGCATATGTTTCTCTCATATATTCTTTCAATGCTAATTCCATTGCCATTTGCAAGATTTTGCACACTTGCTATAAAGCTCTACAAATAATGCATGTTCACACATTATAAGTAGCAACTTGGTTATAGTTTCTATAATTTTTATACTTAAGATTATTATCCTTGTTTCTTACTTTGAATCCAAAACGGTTCTTTTATACTAAATATTTAAAAGATTTTCTATAATTATAAATTAATATTGGATTAATTTTTTTGTCAATAACATTAGAGATAACATATAAAAAAATGCAATTGTCCAAATAGTAAACAAAAAAGAATTGACTTTATATGAGTCTACAAAAAAAATCCTATTAAAAGATAAAAAAAATGATGAATACAACAAACTCAAGAATGGATTGTTTCTTTCAAATAATCCTTAAATACAACTAAATACCAAACTATTTTTGGAATCTCAAAATTGTGAATACTTGCTACTTTGAATCCAAGAGATAATATTGTGGCTTATTTTGTGGCAAGAAAAATGAAAATAGACTAGAAGAAAATAACAACTATATTTATGAAAGCTATTATTTTTCTCAAAGTCATTACAAAAATCCTCTCCTTGACTATTTGACCAAAGGTATATGGAAATATTTATAATTAATAAATCACATTAAGTGCAAAAAATTCTCATGGATAAGCAACTAATTCAAACTTGCTAAACATCTTCATCAAAAAAGAAGAAAAATGATATGAGAAGAAATAAAAATGAAAAAATTATGCATTTTTTTTATTACCAAAATCTATTATAGAGATTGCTTAAGAGCATTTATCAAATTCTATTAATTTTTTCAATTGCATGCACAAAAAAACAAATAAGATTCCAAAAGATAATATTATACTTATTATCTCACGTACCTTTTAAGTTACTTCCAATTATTATCATAATAAAAAAATATTAGATGTTATTTGTAAATGAAATGAGTTTTTTTCTACTAACTAGTGCTGCTTACTATTATATTGCTTTGAGAGTGTAGAAGAAAAATCTCATTAGAAATAGACCTTTAAATATATGAAGAAATGTTTTGGCAACTATCTTCTTTAGAATTGCTTAAGTTTTTTTACAAATCAAGGATTAGCCTTGATGATTTTATTTCTAAGTATACTTTTGAATGCTAAAGTATTGCTTTGCATTTCACATATGCATAAGAATGTTGTTACAAAGGTAAAGCCTATCAATACAATAAATGATCAATTTGACAAGTTCATTTAGATGTAACAAACAATGTTCATCATTATGACAAGAAATGAATTTAAAGGTATTTGAACCAATACTAAAGCATTTTTGGTGACACCTGTATACATGTTTTTTTATGTATGCTTATATATGACTTTTGTATAAGAATACATAAAAAATATGTATCATTTACTGAAGCTTGGACCAAATACTTTCTTTATTTGAGCCATGTTAAAACATCTTGTATTTAGAGAAGGCATGCAAAATTGAAAGCATGAATAAGAGTTGTCATGAAACATCTTCTTATTGTATATAGAAAACCATAACTTACAAATTCTTAACAAAAACATGACATCACCTAAAAAGTTTTGAAACAAAATCAAACCTCTTAAACAAGCATAAAGTTAATCTATTTTAGAATGAAATATTGCAAATGTATTATTTGCATTAAATTTTATATAGCCATATCTTCTTCTTTATTATGCATTTCCTATCAAAGTACAAGTTTCTAAACATCAAAATGATTCAATAAGCATTCAACCAATATCATTAATTTTGATTTCTTAGCAATATAGATTAATGCATAAGTATATTGTTTGATTGTTATATATATATATATATATATATATATATATATATAAGAATAATATTTTAAATTCTAAAAATATAAGAATTTATGAATATAATAATATATATATATATATATATATATATATATATATGTTTCTGCATTCTATTTAAATTAAAAATCTAAACATGTTATATCAATGTAAAATTTATGTAGATTGTTTAAAAAATATAAAAAATTACATTGTTAAGTTGTTTGATTTTTAAATAAAATAATTTATATTTTAATTTATAATTTATTAAAAAATGGATTTAAGAAATAAATTATTAAAAATATTAAAAATAATCATAATAGTTAATTGCCTGTAGTTGAGTTTCATTGTTTAAGTCTAATTGCATGCACTAGACAAACCAGACTTAATTACATGCATCATTTGCTCCTAACTTGTAGAGTACAAAAATATTTGTTTTTAAATAACATTTTGGAAAGAAAATTACTCAAATTTATGTTAATAAATTTTAAAAACCTAGCCTATTCCAACTCTACATTTATGTTAATAAATTTTAAAAACCTGGCCTATTCCAACTCTACAACCTTATTGAAGATAATAACATATAGGGATGCATGATGGAAGCAAGTCTACTAGAAATGAAATCCCCAATATGCAAAGTTTATGAAATGTTTTTTATATTTACAGAACTACAAAATATCCAAAATCTTTAGGATTCTCATTTTGAAGCCATATTCAAGGATTATAGGCAGTATGGCCTTGTAGACGGCCAATATTGGATTAATATAGTTTTTAGAGATATATGCCATACTATAATAGTCTTAAAAAATATAAATAATCAAGTGAAATATTTTTCAAAAAGATATCAAAAAAAAAAGGAAGATAAATATGTATATTCAAGAAAAAATTAAAAAAACTATTTCTAAATTCTAAATTCTAAAAAAAATCTTAAAATTAGAGTAAATGCAAGAAAAGAATTGACTGGAGTGAGAAAGGTCTTGCTTTTATATATGCTATCATATTAAGAGCTACATTGCAATGTTCTATAGAACCTTCAGTATGTATCCAACTTGCAAGATACATGTTTGACTTGCAAGACAAGTTTCTTATATGTGTGCTACATGTCCAAATTGTATTACAAGTAGCTAATATGTATGATACATGGTCCATCTATTGGCCAAGTTTTCAACCTATTAATCACTTGCAAATATACATAAAGACAAATTTGAATCTATCTAGCTTTTAAGAAGCTTTTCCATGAGATATTATCAAATTTACATACTTTTTTTTTTTTTACTTCTACCTATTCATATTATCTAGATTATTATTGAAATAACTAACATAGACTCTGATCTTCCATTTGATGGAAAATAGGTCATTTTTGGCAATGATTTATGCCAAGTCTTGTTAATGATTCAAATTTAAAGTTATGTGCAAATTATGAATACTTTAATTATTAAAAATATGCTGTAAAGAAGCATTTGAGTCTTTTGCTTATTAATTAATAT